GGTTGGAACCCCTAATTAGGGTTTGGAAAACCCTAATGTTATGAAACCCTAAGTTTGGGGATTTATTGGGACCTGCACATGAATTAATCAATAAACTTAAAATGTTAATTAATGATTAATTGCAAATTAACCTAAAGCAATATTGGACTTAATGGATTAAGTCCTTAGTGGGTTAAGTCCATCATGGGTTAAGTAAGAACACTTATCCCTAAAGCAATATTTGACTTAATGGATTAAGTCCTTAATGGGTTAAGTAGGAACACTTAACCCTAATTATCTTTTCATGTGAAAACCCTATTTTCACTTGGGCCGTGAGTTGGGGCTTTCTTTTGGGCTTTGGTGATTGGACTATAGATGGGCTATCCAAGAACAAGTAAATGGATCTAAATAATTAGACGAACTTAAGGGTAAGGCCCATGTGAGATACTTGGGCCCAACTTGGAAAATTGGGTCATAGATGGACCATAACTGGGCCTTTATGATTATGTGATATTGGGCCATAGGAATACCAATGGTTTGGACTAAAATAATTGAACGAGCCTTAAGGGAAGACCATGTAGAGGTCTGGGCCCAATTTGGAAAATTGGGCCACATGTTGGGCTTTGGCACATTACTTGACTTTTGGGTCTTTGGAGTGTGAGATGGACCTTGGGCTTGGAACCCAATTATTAATTGGGTATTGTTTGATGTTGACAATTTGGGAATCTGTCAACCAACAGCTAGAGTTTATCTGCAGGATTTCAACAGTGCCAGGTGAGTTATCCTCATTATACTCAAGGGTCTAAGGCACCAAGGTCATCCATTTGGATTGTTATCTGGTCATGTTATGTTGTTACGATCTGTTATATCAGTATCCTGATAGATGGGATGTTATGTGCTTTTATTATCTGTTAGATTAGTATCCTAGTAGATAGGATGTTATATGTTGTTATGATATGTTAGATCGGTATCCTAAAAAGTAGGATAATATTATATGGTATGCGGTATGATCTGTTAGATTGATATCTTGGTAGATAGAATGGTATTATGTGCTTTGTGGTTTGACCCGTTAGATCAGTTGTTGTATATAGACTGTTATGTGATTATCTGTTATACATGCACATGTTTGTTTGGCAGTTGAGACTTATATGCTTTGTGCGAAAGCCAATAGACCTGGGCATTCCAACCTGTTGGTTGTGGTCGTGAGTATTCCATCCCGAGGATGATTGGACTCATAGTATGTTGGCATTCCGACATGTTGGTTGTGGGCCTGGGGTATTCCAACCTGATGGTTGACTGGACCTATAGTATGTTGTTTATGATTATATGTGTATTGTTGTAGGTATGGGTATTTTGGGGGAACTCACTAAGCTTCCGGAGTTACAGTTTCCGTTTTTGTTTCATGTACATCAGGGGATTGTGGCAAGACAAATGCGTGATCGTACAACTCCTCACATTTTATGACTTTGTTTCTGGGATACTCTGATATGATACATTTTGGAAACAAGTTTTGTAATGGTTAATAAATTTGAAATGTTTTTAAAAGTTTAAATTTGGCATGATTTGTTTATGGGTGTTACAAAAAGACCACTCTGATTACAAATTAATGAATGTCTATATATAGAAATGCATGTATACATATGACCTAATAGTTCAATTCGAGGTTTTTGGATCCTATGTATGATCGTTTTTGGACCTGTAAGATCGGGATCGAGATCCTAAGATCCCACAAAATAAAACATAATTTTAACTAATTATTTTAAAACATTAAAAATATCTCAAATTATAAGTTTTTCGTTCAAAAACTATAAAAATTTTCAAAACTTTACTTACAACTCACAACACAAATGATAAATGATAATTTGGTAAATGGTAAATTCATGTTCTTCAATGAATATTCTAGAGACCCTATAATATTCCTCAAAACCGTCCACCTCTCATGGGTAAGGTTCTGGAACCATTTTGTTCGTCTATTAAACAATTATAGCTTAGGTCATTGCACTTGAAATTAATTCAATTAATCTCAAAATTAATTATAATTAATTCTTGATTAATTATTAATTAAATAATACTATTTATAATTAATATAGTATTCTTATAGTATATCAATAAATCATTTATTGCTATTTATTAATCATATAATAAATCAATAAATCAATATATCTCTCTAAAAGACATTCTATCAAATTACCAGGTTTGAGGGCAACCAAAAAAGATTTTGGTAATAGTTTAAGTATATACCAATGTAGTTATTGGCGTAAACACCTAATCAAACATTAACATCCTCTAACACTTACTTCATTTTGTTAAATATTTTAAAAGAAATAAGGAAACCTTTAGACGATCTAGCTTCCTCACTGCTCTAATACTCTCCCTAAAAACCGCACCTTCTGGCCACTTTAATATGGATTTTTTGAAGTATTTTTCAACACCATAGTCGTGATAGTTTTATTTTATTTACTTCTTTTTATAGTTATTTCAGCATATTTTATTTTATTTTTAGTTAGTCTTTCTCTTTCGTTATTATATATATATATATATCATGTACTTTCTAGTTTTTAAGCTTTATTGCGGATATTTAGAGGAATGGAATAGAGCGTGGATAAAGATTTAGAAGATAAACAAAATTCGAGAGAATGATCGGGATTCTTGGGGCTTATCGAAGATAGTTGGATTGAAGACTAATGTCATTGGAGCTTACTTTGAATATTAAATGGGAGAAACTTTGGACATGGTGAATTAGAAGATGGATTCAAATCGATTCGATGAAAAAAAGATAGAATTTATGGGCTAAGACATTGATGGATTTTTGGATTATATTTGGGCTATGGAGTCTTTGGACTTATATTTACTTGTCTTGAGCTACTTGGTATTCCAATTAGGTTTTTTGGATAAGTTAAAGAAGTAAAAGCTAGAAGACAAAGAATACTAAAAAGGAAAGGGGACAACAAAAACCATTATGGATCAACACATTTCACGAGGTCGCATGAGTTTTTACACTACAATGCATGCGGCTGTGTGGTTCATGCAGGGGCATTTTGGGATTTTCATGTTTTATGGCTATTTGAGGGTAGTTTGGTGGGAGCTTTTGGGACATTCTTAGATCATATTAGGGACTTTCTCTGGAGTTTTTAGAGCTTTGAAGACACATGAAGAACAATTGAAGACTATGGTTTTTCATCTTGTTTTCTTGGAGTAATATGTGGTATTTCTAAATTCTTTCCTTTTTGTTTAAGCTTAGTGATGTTAGGATAAATTAATAGTGGTTGACTTGGATGTAATTTCTTGAATGACTTGGTTATTTTGAAGAACACCAAGAACTTGTGTTTAATATCTATGATTATGTTTCCATTAAAATTTCTTTCATTTTATATATCTCTAGTCATGAATCTTGATATATGAATGCTATTTTTTGTTAGTTAAATTATTAGCTAAGCAACGGGTCTTCAATTTAACAAACAACAATTAGTTTAAATGTTTGTTTTCATTTCATTTAGACTAAAGAACTATTTTCTCCATAGTGGTAATGAAAACAATGGATTACTCTTTAGATTTGGTGACTCTTAAAGCATAATCCTACTTGATTTTTACAAAATTACATGCTTCATTAGTTTTTTTTTTTTTTTTTTTTTTTTTTTTTTTTTTTTTTTTTTTAACTTTGATTTAGAAAATATGCTATGAGCTTCTCTAGCCGTTTTAATACAAAATAAGAGTTAGACAAATTATGCTTATAAGTTGATATATCCAAGTTAGGTTATAAACACAAATATTGCACATTGGTATTCTCATGATTATTTAACCAAATGGTCGAGTAATGAAAGTCCAAAGTCAACTATTTTTCTCTTATTGATTTTACATCAAACATTGATTTTGTTGAATTGTGTTTTTAAATCTTAGTATAACTATAGTTTCTTTTAAATATATGAAAATATCAAAATCCCCCAATTTTAGTTTATTTTAGTTTTATAAGTTTTTTGTACAATAAGATTATCATAGAGTTATAAAATTGAACAAATCTAGGTGGATACGATACATTTACTACTATACATTATTTTAGTGTGTAATATTTAGGGTATTTATTTTTGTTGGCCTCGACAACCACCAAACTGAAATAACCCATAGAAAGAACAAAATCATATTTTGATAATTATCCCGAAAGAAAAAGTTTCACAAAAAAGGTCTGATCTTAGTTGGCTCTTTGAACTCCATCATCGCCAAGTGTTCTAAATTCTCATGAGTTTGAAACAAAGTTTCACCAGCTGTTGTTGATGGAATTGTTGCAATGGTGGCGATACTCTATGTCGATTCATCATCATCCATTGTTGTTGGTACCTAGGATCCATGACTGCCGTTGTTGCTGGTTGCATAACGAAAACCTAGATAGAGAGATGAAAGATCTCACAAAAAACTAAAGCAATTGGTGGAGTGCAACTATGTGCCTAAAGAAGATTGGAAGAAGGGGGTGGTGACCCCAAATCAACATCAAATTTGTCGTCGTTGGTGCGACGATGAAAGCAGTAGGGAATGGATTCGAGGAAGAGAAGTGGGAGTTTTACAGTCAATCCCCTATGGAACTGATTCTTGGCAGACAATTTCTTACCTTCACCATTCTTCTTATTTAGTAACCAATCCACAAACATCGCTTTTAAAGTTCATACACGACGATGCGAATCTGTTGTGGTCAACAAGAATTGTCGGTGGGAGAGAGTAACGGATTTAGGAGGAAAATAAGACAAAATTAGTGATAACCGAAAAATAAAGCAGATGGAGAGGTGAACATGAATGGCGGTGGAAGTAAAGTGGATCGGTGGAGGGATTAAAGTAGGCAGTGAGGTTATATTTGGATCCAATCCGGATACTGTTCATAAGGGGTTTTCTAAATTAAATTATATATATAATAAATAGTTTTACAAACATTGTATGGAAAACTAACAATTGTGTTGGTAAAGCTTTATCAAGCCCAGTTAAATATCTATATTTTGTAAAAAGAATGCAAAACATTAACAACAAATCTATTTCTAGGCAATGATACAAGAATCACTGTCAAGGGTGTACCAGTGTTAAAATTAAAACTTCAGGGGGTAATTCTGGAATACGGAGTAATTTACAAAACCCTGCCTGCCCCCTTTTATCTTCTTCTCCGCCCTCTCCACACTATCTCTTCCCTATCCTTTTTCCCACCATCTTCACTCACCTCCTCCCGTCGCCTCAACCCGCCGGAGCTTCACCGAAGGGGGGAAAAGGTAGTCTGAAATCCACAACATGAACCCTTCAACTCTTCTAACACAACAATCATCTTCTCCTCACCCCACCATCTTGTTCACTCCATTTCTCAATCCTAGACCTCTAAAAATCACAACAAAGTTTCTCACCTTCAATCATCGTCGGCATAGATACAGCTGCCGCGCCCCTTCTGTCCGTTGCTCCGCATCGTCATCATCAGTTGACCAACCACCCACCACCACTCCGGTAAGCGATGTGTTTGGAGGGAAGAAGGAGCTTTCGGCATTCCAATCACTTGTGGATTCTATGTCGCCGGCTGTTAGGTTAGCTAGCTCAGTCGTTGTAGTTGCAGGCGCCGTTGCTGCTGGGTATGGACTTGGGTTACGTATTGGTGGGACCCGGAATGCTAGTTTGGGTGGGGCTGTTGTTTTGGGAGCTGTCGGCGCCGGTGCCGTATACGCGTTGAATTCTTCGGTGCCGGAGATTGCTGCCTTGAGTTTGCACAATTACGTGGCTGGTTCAGATCCTGGTGCACTGAAGAAAGAAGATATTGAAAGCATTGCTAGCAGGTTTATTTCGTTTAACCTATACAAAGCTCTATATTCTTCTAGACTCATGATTTTATCCTCTCTATGTAACTATATTCCAAACGATTAAACTATGACCAAAAATGTTCAATTAACATAGATATTTCGAAGGGCAATGTATTGCCATTTATGGGCAAACAAAAAGCTGCTCTTTGGCGATCAGTTTGCTGCTTCAAAATTGATATGAACTCAACCCAATATGGTTTTACTTTGGGTGTTTGGATATGGGATTAAATTGTATATTGTGAATCGCTTTGGGTAAAAATGATTATGATTACTTTCAGTCAAAACAATCATATTAGGAGTCTTTGTGTATTGCTGAACAGATTAATTAAGTAACAAGTCCTGCTAATGAATATTTTTATTGTTGATGCTTATATTTTCTTTATAATTGTTTCTTTCAGATATGGTGTTAGCAAACAGAATGAAGCTTTCAATGCAGAGCTTTGTGACATATATTGCCGGTGGGTAGCAAGTGTCTAATAATCATATTTCATTCATATTCAAACCAAAAATCAAAAAACGTCTTTACTTTTGCACTTTTTCCATGTTAATTAATTTCTGCTTTTGCAGCAATTCTATTCATGAAAACTTGTTAACATTCTTTCATTCCATTTATTCCCAGATATGTTACTTCTGTACTTCCTTCTGGAGGTGAAGATCTAAAGGGCAATGAAGCTGATATTATTATAAAATTCAAAAATTCCTTGGGCATTGATGATCCTGATGCAGCTAGCATGCATATGGAGGTATTGCTACAATTACAATATGATTTATTGATGCCTTAATAGGTGAATTTTTTTTTTTACATCCACACATATTTCTCTTCATTGATTTTTTTTTTTTTTTCAAATAGATTGGTAGGCGTATCTTCAGGCAAAGGTTAGAAACCGGTGATCGCGAAGCAGATGCAGAACAGCGTCGAGTAGGTTTCTTTTCCTTTTTATTTATTTATTATTATTATAAATTTTATTTAAATAAATTGAAATTAGTAGAGTAAATGAGATACAGAGCTTGATCATTGTTGTGGTCTCCAGTGCAGGCATTTCAGAAGCTGATTTATGTTTCAACACTTGTATTTGGAGAAGCTTCTGGATTCCTTTTACCTTGGAAACGTGTGTTCAAAGTTACTGAATCACAGGTTGAGGTTGCTATACGTGACAATGCACAACGGTTATATGCTTCCAAGCTAAAGTTAATTACTCAAGGTAAATTGCTGTTTCTTTTTTACTTAATGGACTTAATGAGGACAAAACTAGGGTTGATTTTTCTTTTCAACTGGAAAAGCACAACTTGGTGTTGGTTTTTAACTTTTTATGTGTGCTTTTGATACATGAATCAGATGTTAATCCGGAAGATCTTATTAGTCTGAGAGATGCACAACTACAGTGTCGGCTTTCAGATGAGGTACACATTTCAAAGAGCATAAACAACTTAATATTGTATAAGTGATTGTAGTTTTTTAGTTATTGGTTTGGATTTATTGCAGCTTGCTGAAGATATGTTTAGGGAGCATAGTAGAAAGCTTGTTGAAGCAAACATTACAACAAGTGTGAATGTACTCAAGTCCAGGACAAGAACAGCGTACGTGATCCTGGCTCCTTATAAGAACATACCTTTTTTTTTATCAGTTTCATATTCTGACTACTTCATACAATTTTGTTTATATTTATCAACAATAGGTCAAACATATTTTATACAAAAACACTTTTCATGACTTGTAAAGTATATTATATTTTTCAGAAGGGATGCCAAGCTCATTGTTGATGAACTTGATAAGATTTTGGCGTTCAATAACTCACTTGTCTCGTTAAAGAATCACCCTGATGCTAACCGTTTTGCTCGTGGGGTGGGCCCAATTTCTTTAATAGGTACTGTATACTCTCACTCTCACTCATCACAATTTATTTTCTTATTCTAGTATTTAATGCCAATATTATTACTTTTTGTATAGGTGGTGAGTATGATGGTGATAGAAAAATGGATGACCTAAAACTCCTCTACAGAGCATACATTGCTGATTCTCTATCAACTGGTCGTATGGAAAACACCAAGGTACATACAAAAATAAAACTTACCCTTTTTGGATTCCATTTATATTGGTCCAATCAAAATTTTGACTTTTGCCTACATGATTTGAAGGTCTATGTTAATGTTTTTTTGTTTTGTTATGTTCTATAGCTTGTTGCATTGGGGCAATTGAGGAATATATTTGGTTTGGGTAAAAAGGAAGCAGAATCAATTGCAATAGATGTTACCTCAAAAGTATACCGGAAACGCCTTGCGGAATCTGTAACTGGGGGTGCTTTGGAAGCTTCAGAGAGTAAAGCAGCATTCCTTCAAAATCTTTGTGAGGAATTGCACTTTGATACTGAAAAAGCCATTGAGATCCATGAACGTATGTATATAATATATATATGTTGTTAAAATTTTTTTTTATTTTAAAACATGAGTATAAAGGGTTTGTAAATTGTAATATTCTTATTTTTACTTGTCTTTTTCTTAGAAATATACCGTCAAAATCTTCAACAATCTGTGAAGGATGGAGAGCTTAGTGATGCTGAGGTAAAATCACTCGAGAGGTTGCAAGTTATGCTTTGTATTCCTAAACAAACAGTTGAAAAAATCCACGAAGAAATATGTGGCACTTTATTTGAAAAGGTAATTAACATACCATTTCCTTACCAATTTATGTAGCCATGTTTCAATTTGTTATAAATTAATAATTTTTCTCTATTTCAGGTTGTTAAGGAGGCTATAGCTGCAGGGGTTGACGGGTATGATGCTGATGTGAAACAGGCTGTTAGAAAGGCTGCATATGGTTTACAGTTAACCAGGGATGTGGCCATGTCTATTGCTGGCAAAGCAGTGAGTCTTTTTACTTTCTTTCACGGATTTGCCCTTGTTAATTTTTCTTTTTCAATTTTCTAAAATAGTATTTTTAAATGAAGGTTCGGAAAATTTTCGTAAGTTACATACAAAGATCACGAGCAGCAGGTGGTCGAACAGAGGCTGCAAGAGAACTCAAGAAAATGATAGCTTTTAACAATTTGGTTGTAACCGAACTCGTGTCAGATATCAAAGGAGAATCACCCGAAAGCACCACAGAAGGAGAAGAAGAAGAGACAGTTATGGCAGAATTTAAACCCGTAGATGAAACAGAAGATGAAGAATGGGAGCCATTACAGACCCTCCGAAAAGTCAAATCTAACAAAGTCAACATGGGAAAAGCAGGTCAAACCGAAATAACCCTCAAAGACGACCTGCCCGACCGTGACCGAACCGACCTCTACAAGACTTATTTACTCTATTGTCTGACCGGAGAAGTGACCCGGGTCCCATTCGGTGCCCAAATCACAACAAAAAAAGATGATTCCGAATATGTTTTTTTGAAACAATTGGGTGGGATTCTCGGGCTGACCGATAAAGAGATTGTGGAAGTGCATAGAAGCTTAGCGGAGCAGGCGTTTGGGCAGCAAGCGGAGGTGATATTAGCAGACGGGCAGCTGACGAAAGCGCGTGTCGCGCAGCTAAACGAGTTACAGAAACAAGTGGGATTGCCGAGTGAATATGCTCAGAAGATTATTAAGAATATCACGAGCACGAAAATGGCGGCTGCACTTGAAACTGCTGTGGGCCAGGGGCGGCTTAGCATACGGGAGATACGGGAACTGAAAGGGTCGGGGATTGAGTTGGATGTGATGGTGTCGTTGAATTTAAGACAGAATCTTTTCAAGAAGACTGTAGATGATATATTTTCTTCCGGGACAGGAGAGTTTGATGAAGTGGAAGTTTACGAGAAGATTCCGGAAGATCTTGGAATTAATGTTGAGAAAGCCCGTGGTGTTGTTCATGAACTTGCACGGACCCGGTTGTCGAATTCTTTGGTCCAGGCGGTTTCGTTGCTTCGACAGAGGAACAGCTCAGGGGTGGTAAGTGTAAAATTCATTATCTTTGATAATTTGGATTTGCTGAGTTTGATAAATATGTTTGGGTACCAATGACAAAATGCAGGTTTCTTCTCTGAATGACTTGTTAGCATGTGACAAGGCAGTGCCAGCATCACCATTATCATGGGAGGTGACTGAAGAGTTGGCGGATCTGTTTCTGATATATCTCAAGAGTGATCCAGCACCTGAAAAACTGTCGCGTTTGCAGTATTTGTTGAACATTGATGATGCAACAGCAGAAGCGTTGCAAGGAATGAAGGATCGAGCACCACCAAGTGAAAGTGGCGGAGGAACCAGTGAAGAGGAGTTTGTTTTCTGAGGGTGTTTTGTGACGGTTTTGTGAGTTATAGGATAGGTGAGGGGGCTATGAGTCTTGAGTATTATCCTGTTGCGTATTTGTTTGTTTAATGTCTGTCACAATATAGATGTAAGATGTGTGTAGATTATGAAACTGGGTTTCCAGTATTCAGTGATCTTAATTAATAAAAACGTCACTCGTAATTGGCTTCTGGATTGTTAAGAAAAAAGATGATCCATTTAAGTGGGATTACTTAAATGTGGGTTGGTTTGTGTTACGTCGTGTTTTTAACTCAGCAATACGGTAGAATAAAAAATAGTAACTGAAAAAGAAACGAGACAATCATCAAATACGTTGAAATGATAAAAAAAAATGTGTAAAAATGATTAAAAAAAATGTGTGAAGTAATGAAGTATACCAATAAATACGTACAATTGTCTATTTCGTATTGCTTAAAAATTAAATTATGATCATAACACATATTGTATTTAATAATAGTATGGAATATAGAAAAAAGATTATATATAATAACGAAAAATGTTTATGCATAAGGCAAAGACGACTTTTTTTTTTTTTGACCCGTACCCGTCCGACCCCCAAAACATCAAACAATTATTCGCGGCTTGGAAAACAATTTGACCCGTCTGTGGCTCTGTGCATACTGCGCCGGCAAGCTTTTCAATCGCTTTTCTTCCTCGATCGGCTTTTACGACGGCGACTCCTCTTCCTTGACACGGCGGTGATATTCTCAACTGGTATGTTTGATTATTTACGGGTTTTAATTGATTTTTTATGTAGTGGTAATTGTATTTTAATCGGCTTCTTTCTCGTGCTGGTGCAGCTTATATGCGTTAGCCATGAACTATTTTAGGTTTTGTTAATCTCATCCTAATTCATAGATGCTGAATTTTAATTGTATTATAATCTTGTTGAAAATTAGAACCTCAAATAGGTTCGAATGAATTTTGTAAGACGATGCTATCCAATTGTTATTCTTCGTGTCAATGTGTTACCCGTTTGGAAATGATTTATTGTTTGCTTCAATCTCTTCGTTCAATCTTGAAATAAGCGTTAAAAACGCAGGGAATTTGGTAAATTCTTAACCAAGGAATAGAAAGCACTCCAAGTGTTTGTGATATTGCGTCAATGAGTTGCAAGTTTAAGATTATGTATGCTGTAAATGAGACTTTGAGCAGTGAATCTGAAAGAATGAAATATCTCACTTGTCGTTAGCCTGTTAAGTTCTTATTATTGGTCCTTTCCAAATTGCTGGTGACTATAACATGATTGAGTGGAAATTTGACAGCCTATTATTGAGCTACTATGGGGACTGAAGGCCCTAAGGATTCGTTGGACTGGAAAAGCATCGGCGATTCAGGTAATAAGAATGAGGCTGATGCTGGACCTGTTGTGAAAAAACGGATTCCAAAAAAGATGCGCCACATTCCAGACTACTATTTCCTTCCTCGTAGATCCATGTTAGCTAACATTGCAATTTATGGGTCCTGCATTGTTGGTGGGATTGGAGCTGGGATGCTGACTGAAATCTGGATTAACAAGAAAGTTAAAGGTACTCATTTTCAATTCTGTTCAACTACTTCTTGTTATAGTTTATAATACTAAATACTTATTGCAGAGGATGGAAATGGTGTTTTATGGGAATTTGACAAATAAATGGCTGCCTGCCTTTGCTTTTGCTGCTTTCTGAGTTCTGATAGAGATAAGGAGAAGGTATAATGGATAAAAGAGTACGGAGTTTTAGGTTGCCTGAGACATTCTTTTAGTTATTTTGGTTTTTACATATTCGTGGTTTTCTCGATATTATTTATTACCCCTTATAGTTTTTTAAGGTTTGTTTTGAGTATTGAAAAGGGAAAAAGAAACCTTATCTGAAGGAGACCTGGATAGATCAACTCAAAAGTTAATTGGGTTAAGTTGTTTCGGATGTTTCCTCAGCAGATTATGTTCTTAGTTGATTTTTAAACCTAAATAAGTGAATCCAAAACATTCATGGTTCACCTTGATCCACCCCTTTTGGTGGAAGAAAAGTTGCAAATTTTGCTTCAGACACTCGTCTCGGTTTAAATCCAATGCATAATGCTATACAAGCTGTCTTAATAATAACAGCAAACATGGCCTTAAACAAAATACAATGAATCACCAACTTTTTTTCCACTATGGATGGAATCATGGAAGTATGGTGTCATAAATAGGGGTGAGGAGGGTACCCGCCCTAATTGTCTGGAACCGGAACCGGTGGTTCCTAAAAATATCGGAACCATAATTGGTTCTGGTTACCGGGTATCCGTTTATTTATTTATATTGTTTTAATTATTATTTATAATTCTCTCATTAAAGAGTAGATAAATTAAACATTAGTACATTACCATATATAAATAAACCAACTAACATCTATAAACATTGACCATTGAAAATTTACTGGACAAACAAAAATATGTGATTGGGCTAACTTTACGAACAGAGCATATGAATGTACGCGTTTTCAAACTTATAAATAGAAACAACCTTTAGAATTCTACATGATTTTATTTATTTAATTTTCAATTGTGGTTACGTTCCTTGGGTTGCTTGTTGCTGGCTATTCAGTTTTTGGAGGCTTGGGCTGCTAAATAACTGATTTACCTCTATACAATGGGCTTAAGGTTGGGTGTTGGATTGAATTTTTTGGGGTTTGAGATAAAAACTTATTGTGACCCATTAAAATTCAACCTGCAATATAATTGCTGAATGCTAATGTTGTTCCAGCCATTAATCAACTACAAACCCCTCTTGAAATTGGCCCCTACGTTAAGTCATTAAGATATACTACCTTTTACTCTATACATCAAAGATGTTTGACTTCACACATTTTGTAAAGAGCTTTGACCAATTATCAAATATCTAACGCACCCGTTTCAGAAAAACAAAATTGAGAAAAATATATTTCTGTATTGCTTGGTCATATGCCAAATAATTAAATTTGAATAAGAATCTTCCTAGCAAAACAAATTTCATCCATTCCAATAGGAAGCTTGTAAGTTATTTTATTTTCACACCCCATCAATGAGTCCAACAACTAACATGACGGAAATAAACCATATTGTTTCCAGAGTAAAAAACGTGGTGTCCAAAATTCAAAATCGAAAAGACCCCAATTGACCAATTATACTTATAGATTCTCATGTCCTTACTGCTATTCAAGGACAACACATTAGGTTGCTAAGATGCTATATACATTACTCACCACTCACCAATAATCCTTGCATGAACAAACCCCATTCTTAAAATGATGAAACCGATTCCGATCCCTCATAATTATCTCCCTCTCATATACCTTTGATATAATCTTCATAGCATTATGACAATCATCACAAGTTCTCAAATTCTTCACCACTCTTATCACCTTCCCAAAAGAAATCCTCAAGAGCCCAAAAGCAACTGCAATCCTCTCGCTATGATACCCAACCGACATCTCTTTCTCCTCCTCATCTATATCATGCAACACACCACCCGTATCCGCCTCATAACCCCCTTCTTTCAATCTCTTCCCAATTTCAACCAAAACCCCATTTATCTCTTCAAATTCCGGATGCAAACTATCTCCCGCCACAAATTCATACACTACATTCTCCACCTCAATCGAACTCCAACCGGGTACCTTCTGAACCCCGTTTTCCATCATCAACTTCCGACACCTGTCCACATCTTTCCATCGACTCAATGACGCGTATAGATTGGAAAGGAATACGTAATTCCCGCTGTCATACGGGTCCAATTCCAACAACCGTTGAGTCACGTGTTCCCCGAGTTCGGTATCTTTATGAATATGACACGATCGAAGCAAACTCCCCCACACCACCGCGTTTGGCTTCAATGGCATTTTGGTAATAAGTTCCAACGCTTCCAAAAGTAAACCGGATCGACCCAAAAGGTCAACCATACATCCGAAATGTTCAATTCCCGGTTCTATTCCGTAATCGGTTTCCATTGTTGAAAAATACGTTTTAGCTTCAGAGATTAATCCAGAGTGGCTACAACCACATAAAAGACCAATAAAAGTAACCCCATCGGGTTTTACACCTTCTTTCTTCATGGAAAGAAAATAATCAATCGCTTCATTACCATAACCATGCATTGCTAATCCTACAATGATCGAATTCCAGCAGTAAACGTTCTTGGATTGAAGTTTATGAAAGACATCTACAGCATCTGATATACTTCCACACTTGGAATACATGTCGATAAGAGCATTGCCTAAAATAACATCGATTTTGAGTTTATTTTTCTTGATGTAACCATGGATCCATTCACCCATATCCAATGCTCCAAGATGAGCACAAGTGGTTAACAAACTAACCATGGTTACCTCAGTTGGCCTCACCCTTTCGTCTTGCATGTGGTCAAAGAAACGCAATGCTTTTAGGAACTCCTTACCCTGAACAAATCCTGCAATAATGGTGTTCCATGTCACAGGGTTTTTCACTTCAGTTTTGTGGAAAAGTTCTTCAGCATGATCAAGATGACCGGATTTGCAGTAACCATCTATCATTGCATTCCAAGAGACTATGTCTTTGATGGGATTGGAATCGAAAGTTAAGCGAGCTGATTCGATGTCACCTATCTTGGAATAGCAAGTGATCATGGAGTTCCATGTGACTGAATTTTTTTCGTGCATACTGTTGAACAGTTTCTGTGCGTCTTTGGCAGATCCATGCTTACTAAGTGCTGAAATCATAGCGTTATTCGCTACAATGTCTCTATGGGACATTTCATCGAACACCTTCTTTGCAGAACTTAAATCCCCGATCTTTGAGTAAAAGTCGAGCAACCCTGTTTGCAAAACGACATCGTTGTTGAAATTCCACTTGAATATCTCGCCATGAACTGTTTTCCCTAGTTGCGAGGCACAGAAACTGGCACAACAATGGAGAATCAAAGAAAGTATGGTTTGACTGGGGTACACATCACTAAATCGCATTTTGTTGTAAAGAGTTACGAAGTCGCCAAAGTTATCAGCATTGTTTAAATAACCTGATTTACTATACCCATCGATCAACACATTCCAAGAGATCGTATTTTTTACAGGGTTTTTATCGAAGAGAAGCCGTGCAGAGTCGATATCACCTATCTTGAAATAGCAAGATACCATTGAATTCCAACTATAGGAATCCTTTTCCAGCATACTATCAAACAAAACCCGTGCATCCTCAATAAGTCCATGCTTCCCAAGTACTGAAATCATGACATTACAGGCAACCACATCTCTCTGTGACATTTCTTCGAACACCTTCTTGGCAGACCTCAAATCTCCAATTTTTGCATAGAAATCAAGCAACCCAGTTTGCAAAACCAGATCAGAATCAAAACCCCATTTCACTACAACACAGTGAAACAATCTCCCCAATTGGGCATTACCCACTTTCGCACCATATTGAAAAATCGAAGCAAACATCCCAACGCTGGGGATGTTTGCATCATAATTACGACACCGCATCATCACATCATAACAAGTGAAGAAATCCCGCAGGTTATTAGATTCTAAACACGTTTTAATCATGGATCCCCAGAGGGAAGGTTTTGAAAACGACGCCGGTAAGTTATATACGAACTGTAACGCGTAACTGGGATTACGAGAATGGTAGCAAGAATGTAAGAACGTGGTGATAAGGGGTGTTGAAGCGAGATGACCATTTGTGAGGATTAGACTGTGGATTTGTTGAAGTTGTTTGAGTGTTAAGAATTTACTGTCTAGAGTCGGTAAGATGTAGCCGAGGATGGAGTGCGGAGGTTTGCACAGAGGTAACATTACAGGTTCGATCTGCAAGCTCAATCTTTCTTTAGCCGCGAACAATTTGAACTAGTAAGGGATTCGGGTACAAGAGTGGAATCCATCAAAACTCTAGTCCCGAGACACGACAAAGTTACTCTCTTTAATACCATACTTACTTTTATTTATTTCCATTAGACAGCTGGAAGGATGAGTGGGATTGTGGGAACCCTTCTCGAATCTCGGAACACAATACCAAGGTGAGAGAATTTGCAATGCGGGAACGAGTGAAGGGAGGTTATCTAGCGATGGCAAATTGGACTATCATGTAATCTTTTTGTCCGACAAAACACCATAATGTTTTTAGTAACACAAACACGATACAATGCTGTTTTTTTTTTCAACTAATAAGAAACGAACCGATTAAAAAAAACACAACACGACAAAGATGACATAATATAACAATTAATTTATTTAACTAATACTTAATCATACATAATACGACAAACACGACTGGCAAATGCTAAATCGTGTCAATTTTGTATCGAATTTTAAACACGAACAAGACACGACACAACTTCGTATTTTTTATGCTTGATACGGACACAAATTCGAATTTTAGTTTTGACCGGTTTCATTTCGTGTCGTGTCATCAACTGTCACCCATAAGGTTATCGCTCATTCTCTCAACTGGTGTTCAACATCTTTTTTTTTTCTTCAATTGTTTTAATATTTATTAAATTATATATATATATATATATATATATATATATATATATATATATATATATATATATATACACAATAAAAAATTATAAAAAGTATATTAAAATTAATGGTTTTTAATTCCTTACAAAACGAGTATAGTATTGTATAAAATATTTAAAATAAAATAAATAAAGATAGTGAAAGGCAACAATTTCCTGTCTTTTGGTGAGTGAACGAATAGTGAGGGAAAACTAACGTAACACTCAAAAAGTGAAAAATGTTCCTTGAACATATCATGTGGTCTTAGGTCAGCCGATATGGAGTGAAGTGTACGCATAAATTCCTATGTGGCAGACCATTTCCACACGTAAACACCACCACCAAAGTGTTGGATTATGTGTCTAAGCTCATAACTATAATTGATATAAACTTAAATTGATGGTAGCACAGTCCTTTTGGGTTACTCTAAAACCTAATAATTGGACATGATATTTTGGAAATATGTGTTGATTTATTATTAATAATTTATTAATATATTATGAAAATAATATATTATTTAGAAATAGTATAATTTAATTAATAGTTAATCAGAAATTAATTGGAATTGATTTTGGGATTAACAGAATTAATTAAAAGTGCAGGGGTTAAAGTGTAATTGTTTAATAATCTATAACCTCCTTAGGCTATGGATGATTTTGGAACTGTTGTAGGGGTTCTAGAATTATCATTGGAGCAAAATCAGGAAGTTGGATAATTACGAAAAACCATATAATATTATTATATTGGTTTTAGGGTTAGCTAGGGTTTCCTTACTACATTATATAAAGGCTTTATGGCTTCATATTTTGGCACTCATTCTTTAGAAGAGCTAGACTGAAATTCTGATCTCCTCCCTCCTCTATCTTAATATTCTTATTGTTTGTGTTGGATGTGAACCACTAGAGGCACGACACTTGTGGTGCTTGCTTCCAAAAGATCAATAAAATGATTTTTGATTGTTTACTTCAACAATCAATAAGGTATGTATTCTTACTAATGAATTCAAGTTTGAATAGGAAAATTTTGTAGTTTGATAGCTCATAGTATGTTGTCTTTATGTGAAAGACATAGATCCTTCTAGGTTGCATGTGCCCTAATCATTTAATTGTTAAATGTTTTCCCCCTTAGAGCATTGTTTTTGTAACCTCCATAACTCATCAGTGGTATCATATCCTATGACTATATTTCATGTGATTGCACATTGGTGAATTGATCAAAACTAAAATTTTCGGATTAATCGCTAAGCACTGTGTTAAGTTTAGAAGTTCGTCTATGTCGATTCAGTTGCAATTATTCCCCTTTCTTGCGATCCAGAAGTTTGATTTGTTTTCCTTTCATTTACCCTCTCCCGCTATCCTAAGCCTTTCTTTCGTCTTGTCATTCTTTCTACTAGCCATCTAGTGGGAGAAAAAAAAGAAGCCCCTCCTGCCCAAACCGGGGAAGCTTAAGCGAAAATGAAAGGCTTTCCGGACCTTCCCCAACCGGGGGGAGGAAGATCACGAAAAAGAGACAGAGTCATAACTAAATCATAAAACAAGCTACCATTCCATCTGTCATATCAGTCGAGTCGATCAGATTCGTTCTTATCTATAGATAACGCAAGAGAGAAGTTATCACCTCGCGGATGGAGAGGGATTAGAACCCTGATATTCCTATCAATACTTCGGTTTTCAATACAGACTCTTTCATCTCACGACGTGAGCATTGATGCTTACGACATGAGATATGACCTG